CAGTGCTGGGGCTGTAACTGCTCTGAGGGTGTTTGCAGTCCAGTTTGGGGAATGGAATCTCCTCCTAAGGGAGAGATGTCTGCCGCTGTAGCGCGTGAAATGGAACCGCGCCGACACGCGGCCCTCCAGGGTTAAAAAGAGGGAAGGTGAATTTCTGACTCCGACACATAGAGATTTCTGAAAGTGACAGCGGGTTGGGGGATGGCAGTGCCACCTCTCCAATGGCACTGGACGAGCCAGCAGTCTCCATAAAAGAATTTCTTCTCCATAAAAGAATTTCTTCTCCATAAAAGAATTTCTTCTCCATCAAAGAATGCAAAACAATAAGTTATTCACATAAAGTGTGTGAGAAAGTTCGTTTCAAGAAGGTAAACATCAGAAGGCTTAGAAAATTTAAAAAAGCTAGGGCAACAGACATGCACTTGGAATCATAAATTGCAATAAGTTTTGCTCCTCAGGACTGTTTCCCTGAAGATATTTTGCGCTTGATTTCAGGGTGGTGTTCCTAGCTTGTGTGCTGTGGAAAAAAACTCCTTAATGGACAACACCAAAAAACCAAAATGCTTTTATTTGGCAAAGCCTCAGATTTAGAGAGAAAAGCCTTTCCTAAAAAGCCCATTGCTCTATTTATTTAATTTATTCAGCCAAGGAAAAACTCTATAAATAGATTTATTTGGCAGGCCATTGTAAAGATTCATCAGTTCTGAGGTGTGCACTGCCACCTTAGAGCTGAGGTAACTGCTGAGTGCTGCTTTACGCCCTTTCAGGCTTATAAAAATGTCTTAGAAACAAAATTTTGGTGTCAGGAAAGTGCCATCTTGCAAGCTGTGTCCTTTTATTCCTAAAGAGCTTTGAAAGTAGTTTTTAAAAATTTATTACTGACTGGTAACCGTAGTATTTTTATCTCCCTCAGATCTGTAGCATGGAAATGTGACATCTGTCATTAAAGCTGGGAGGATACAAAAGCAGCCCATGAAATATTTTTGAGTGCTCTTAAGCCACTTTCTCTGCCATGTCTTTGTTGAGCTTTTGGCAGACAGAAGTGGCTAATGAGCTGGCAGGGCATTCCTGCTCCACAGGTTTCAGTTTGGGAGGGCACGGTGGAAAAACCATTCCCCAGTTTTCCTCTCATGCATATCAAGCACCACAATGATGTTGACAGAGTCCCAAGAGAAGTTTAATTTATCTCCCCTGTGCATCCCACTCTGGTTTTTTATATGCACAAGCATATGCTGGAGGGAGGAATAACAGGGCCAAGAGGAATAACAGGGCCAACCCACCTCTCTCTCCCTCTTTTATGTTGTGTCTAGATCTATACCTTGATTAATGCAGGGAACAAATCACTGACAACCCATTTCTCACCTCGTTTGTTCAAAATGAGCCTTCCAAGCCACAGCCCTGCAGCCCCTGGTGCCACGAGGCCGCTTTGTGCCCATGCTTGGTGGTGGGAGCTGGTTTTTGGGAAGGGAGGGGAGAGGGCTGGCCGGTAGCCTAAGCAGGAGTGTTGGTTCTCTCCGCCAGCCTGTCACCCGTCCTGCAGGACGTGCCACGGCCCCTCTGAGTGGGAGTGCTCCGCCTGCCACCCCCGTGCCACGCTGGACGCCGGCAGGTGCAGGACAGGCTGCAGGGAGGAGCAGTACCTCAGCCTGGCAGGCCGCTGTGTGGGTGAGTCAGGGCCTGGGTGTCCGTGCCATTGAACTGCTGCTGCAACGCTGCTTGGCTCCTGCTCAGCAAAATCAGCCAGGTTGGAATTTGTGATCCACACAAGCGGCTGATGGGGCCCTAAAGGAAAGCTGGCGCAGCAAGAGTTGCTGTGTGCGTTTCTGGGAGGTAATAGGATTTCTGGATGGGGGTTGTGCTGTGTGGGTGCTGGCTGCCTGCGCTTAAGCCCATCATCTGAAACCACTGATTGCATTTATCTGTTTAAAAAGAAAAATCGCTTTTAATCCGTCCCACAGACACGTATAAACATATCCTGGGAACTGCTCCAACCATTTCTGAGCTTTATCAAGCCTTTTCTTTTTTCTTTATCAGAAAAAGCTACGGTGTGTGAGGCTTAATCCGGGCTGAACAGTTCCAAATGAGATAAGGAATCCCAAGAAAAGGGAAAAATGCATTAGGAGTAATAAATATATCCATTGAGAGGCTATTGTTCTCAGTTTAATATGATTTCCCTTCACAGAGCCTTCTCTTTGCCGAACATCTATGTCCTGGATGTTTTTTAATGAAAGACTTGTTTCTTTGCTCTCCACAGCTTAATTCTATGAACCATTTCTTCATCTCCCTTTTAAACAACAGTGACTGTTCTGTCTGCAGGGACAAAAAGAGCAGGAAAAGAAAGTGTGTGAGGAGCAGGAGACTATCCTAAAAGTACTGTACAGCTCCTTAGGAATTCAGGCTGGGGAATCAAGATAGAGCCAGATAACTGCAAACTGGAAATAATTCAGCATTTCAGTGTAACGAGGTGTCTCTGTCCTGTACAATTTTGGGGGATGCAGTGGTACTTACTAATGTCCTGGCATGTGAGAGCTCTGTATTTCTTCCACCTTATTTCCCCATTAATTTGCATTTATGCTTCCTATGAAAGAAGTCCTGTGGAAAAGTGGCCTTCCCCTGTGAATTGTATTGGGAAAACCTAGTGCCATTTATCATCAGTCAGCACTCTTTCTGAGGAGGATTTATTCTTTAATTATCCCTTTGTTTGGTGTCATGGAGCAGTTCTGCTGCTCCCCAATCCCATTGTCACCAGGGAGATGTCCCAGGAAGTAGGAGCAGTGTGGAGGGCATTCCTTGTGGCCTGGGCACCTTCAGTGTCCCGCAGAACCTGTGGGAACCCTTGCAGAGCAACATAACTGAGGTTTTTCACCTTGACCAAAAAGCTGTGCTCTGGCCCAGTGCGTTGCTCTTTGTGCTAAATTTATGTCTGGTGTTTAAGCAAAGGATGTTTGTGGCCAGTTCTCCTGGAGGTAAAGTGCTCCACATCCAGGTTGTTAAGTTTCACTCAATCTATCATGTAGCACTGATTGAAATGCTGAATTTGCCCTTGCAAGTTATTAATTACCAGTTAAAGAGCAGCTGTCCCATAAAAGAGCACATTAAAACTCCTGACACCCTCATAAGATATGATTTACAACAGAATCTAACAAAGCTTTTTCCTTCACCTCCCAAAGCAATATATTTTTACAATTATCTTCCCATTTATCTTTAATTCCCCACCCTGCAGGCAGAATTGTGTTATGGCTTACAGGGCCTGCTGTGCATCACAGTCACCTGCCATCCTTTATGGACCTGGAGGGGGAAATCTTTCACAGAGGCTGCAGAAAAGCAACTGTCACTCCAAACCATTGCCTGGGAATTAATGGTGTTACTGTGACTGTTACCTGAATGAGGATTGGAACATTTGCCTTGTTAACAGGAACAAAAAAAGGTCTTGTTTTCAGCAGTTAATCAAATAAGCATTTCACATTTAAGCTGAGGAAAGATAAAATGTCCTCAACTTTCAGAAAATCAGCGAGTCCCTGAGCTCTGTTTTGGGCACACAGAATTTGTGCCAGTTCTCCCCTGAGAGCGCTCAATTGATTAATTTCACTTTATAGCCCAAATGCACAGGAATGTGCTTGAGACTCGAGCCATGCCCCGTTGGATCTCACAGCTTCTGTGGTGTTTGCTTTCCCACTTCCCAGCTGTCCCTCTCCCTCTTGCTCAGCTTGACCTCAGCTTCAGCAAACTTTGCAGTCAGCACTCACAAAGTCCCAATCACTGCTCAAAGCCTTGTCCTGCCCTTGCTTTTCTGATTTGAGGTTTCCCTGTTTATCTGGAAGCTTCCCTGGCTTTTCCTGACTTTTCCTGACTGCATGGAAGGGCAGAGGGGCTAGTGTGGAAGAAAACTGTGCATGCCAGCTGACAGAGAATCCATCTCAGTGTGGTTTTAACTCCAGCTGCAAGGGAGCTCCCACTGCCTGTGTTCCTCAGGCCCTTGCTTTCTTAGCCTGTGTGCAGTTGGGAAAACCTTCAAAGCTGAACCAGAGGAGCTCGCTCAGGAGGGGGCCTGTAACAAGCTTTGCTGCCTTGCTCTTAAAATTCCAGAAGGGACACTCTGACAACAAGAAATATCCTCAGCTCCTTGTAAAATTAATGAGCTGTTGCTGTCCGTTTAGAGAGACACTGATACCATCACAGAGAGCTGGAGCAAGAGGGGCTCAGCTCCACTCCCTCACGCTCTGCAGCCTCCTACAGAGCCAGCAGCTGGGCTGCCAGAGGAGGGAAAACCCTTTCCCTGCTTTGCTCTGGGCTCCTTTGTGCCAGCGACCTTCCAGCTGCCTGGGGAGGCTCTCCCAGAGCAGGCAGATCCCTGCAAACCTGCTGTCACTGTCAATGACAGGTTCCCTCTCAGGTCTTGGAAAAGAGACACAAGAAAAACATTCCAGCAACCAAAGCAAGCCAAAGATCCTGGTCAGTGTTGTATATCCTCCTAAACCAACCACACTGACTTGCTTTCTGGAATTACTGTAAGACCAGAGGCTTTTTTGCCCATTGAGGTGACTATAAAGCGTGGGGTGTTTTCAGTGCTGATTTTAAGTCATGCTCTGTTGTAGACCTCAGGTCTCACCTGAGAGCACAGCACAAAACTTGCATCAGGAAATACCTTCCTGGAGAGCCCCTAAGAGGGATGATGTGTTTAAACAATATATGCTCAGCAAGTGGTGGAGCTGAGAGGCAGAAATGCCACCGGTTTCCTTTGTCAGCATTCACAAACACTTCAGAGATGGTTTTGTCTCCCCAAGAGCCTCTTTTGTCTTAGAACAACCTGCGACAGATAATTTCCATATAGGAAGGGCACAGTTTTCTTGCTTTATTTGCTAAGAGAAAGCTGAAGAGGGTAACTCTGGAAATCCATGGAAGCACTTCCATTCTGCTTTGCATTGGAAGTAGCTTCACAGGAAGATCAGTGATGGGGGTTATTTTTGCACAGAGGTGGGGAAGAGGGAAATCAGAGCCAGCTGGCAGGGGAGCAGGAAAACATTTTGCTTGGAGAGTGGGAGGAAAGCCAGCAGTCTCAGAAAGATGAGGAGGGAGGCATTGGGACTACCAGCTAAGGGGTGACAGAATTCCTAAGAATTCAGTTGGAAGGGATCTAAGGGAATTAACTCACTAGTGTGGCACTGACCTGCGGCCAGCTGGGGATGTGAAGGCTCCAGAAAACCCAAACCCCACAGGCTGTGCCCGCAGGACTGGCAGGGAGAAGGCAGAAGCAGGAAACAAGAAGGGCTGGGGAATGACTGAGAAGCACAAGGAAAACATCCCCCTTCTGTTAGTCCTGGCTTCAAAGGGAGCCTGCTGTGAAACAGTGAAATCATCTCTCCCTAAACAAAGCCCTTCAGTTCTTCCCTTGCTCTCTCACTCACTCCCCAGTGTCCCTGAAATTCACCATGAGCAGCAGCCCTGGGTTTTTTGTTGGTGCTGTGTGTGCTTTGATCTCCAGGCTTGCAAAGGAACAAGAGAGTGATGGGGCTGATTCATCCTAAAACAGTAACTGAGAAAACTCTTGCCACTCGCTGGAGCGAAAGTAGAGGCTTGTGAAGGGAAAACTCTGCTGCAGCAGCACTGAGTTGTGTAGATACTTGGATTTTTGAGTGTTAGTTTGTGAGAATCTGGGTTTTTGCTGCAGCTATTGACTGTGTGGATACCCTGCATTTTCTCGGCCTCATTTTTATGCTCTGTGTATGAAACCTTTTGAGCAGGTTTGTTACTCATTATACCCTGCCAAAGCTCTTTACTAGAGACCAGGGGCTCTAGCAAGAGATTCAACTGGAGGAGTATTATTTTAGCAGTAAGGAGAGTCATCATATTACCAGGTAAATGTGGAAGTACAAAAAACTAACTGGATTTTTGGTAATTTTATTGGTTATAAGCACATAAACCCCATCACCCCACCTGCAGCCCATACAAATCACAGGTACTCAGGGCCTTTGAGATGGCCTGCTCTCAGGGCAGGTGGCACAGGCTGTCCTGCTCCCTGAGGTGGGCTGCATGTGATCCTTTCTGGGGACTCCAGGGACTCCACCTCTGTACCCCAACTCTGGCTGGGCGTTCCCAGCTCCGAGGCTGAGAGCACAGGGCAGAAACCCCATGGTTCTGCACCCGGTAAGAGCAGGAGCTGAAGGAGGCAGCTCTGTAAGAAGCTTGGATTCCTGCCTGCAGTCAGGACTGGATCGTTTCTGGGCTGCTTCTGGGCTTTTGCAGCAGTGTGGGGTGAGAGTCTCCTGTGTGTGACACGCAGGAGGTGCCAGCTGGGGCAGGCTCCTGCAGCTGTGGATGCAGGATTCCTCCAGGCTCCCGTGTGAGCCTGTGCTCAGCTTGTGAATCTAGATTGCCTGACAGCCTGTAGTAGTGCTGTCACAGGAGACAAAAGACAGAAAGGTGAACCTGCAGCAGAAATCTGACAAGAGGCCAGGCACTCCAATCAAGCCTCATTGTTACATATCTTTCAAGACACTTGTCATTTCCTTTATAATTTTCTCGATTACCATAATGAGGATTAATTTGGCTTCCAGGTTGCCTTACACTGCACCTTTGTGCACACAAAAGCCTTGTTGTCAAACCTGGTGAAGCACCTAAGTTCAGGCAGAGGTCAGGAGACGCAAGCTTGCGTCCTGCTGGGGAGAAATGGAGAAAGGAAAAGGTTTTGAGGCACTCTGATGCCACTCTTGGCCTGGCTTGGAGGGCTGCTGGGGCTGTTTCAGGGTGTGGATGGCTGGTTGGTGTGGGAAAATGGGAGCAGCAGGAACCACAGGAGAAGGTGATGCAGCTGTGCAGGTCCTGCTCCTCGTTTTGCCATGGTGGGAGCAGAGGGAGGTGGGTGCCTGAGGCAGAGGCACTCAGCATCAGGGAAAGGGCTTGGGAAGCAAAGGCCTTTGAGCTGGCTTTGTGCAAAACTTTCCCAAGCTCATCTAAGGATGGAAAGAGGATGCTTCAGTGGGGCAGGAGAGAAAGTGAAAATGCTGTGGAGCACAAGATGAGGAGGAGGCAAGAGGAGAGGATGCGGGAGGTTCGGGTAGGGGGACTCGCTCTCCAAGCTGCATCCCTGCTGCCATTCTCAGCCGTGCCGTGTGCTCAGTGTCCCTTGTTCCCTGCAGACTGCCACCCCCTGTGCCGGCGCTGCGTGGCCGACGTGCGGGACGGCGGCAGCGTGTGCCTGGGGTGCCAGCACGGGCGGCACCTGCTGCTGGGGGATCGCTGCCTGCCGCGCTGCCCCGCGGGACACTACGCCGAGCACGGAGCCTGCAAACGTGAGTGCCGCCTGCAGAAACCCGGGAGCTGCAGGAGCTGCCTGCGCCCCTGCCACCGGGCCCGCCAAGGGCTCCTGTGCAGTGGAGAGGCCTTGTCCAGCCAGCAAAGGACACTGCGCTGGAGCGGCTTTGTTTTCGTGCTGTAGGAGGTTTTTCAGGATGTGTTGCTGAGGCTTGTCTTGGTGCAATAACGGCCCTGATAGCAGCTCCCCAAACAGAAAGCCAATTCCATTCAGCTTTCTAGGCTGGGGCAATGGATGCAGCACCCAGGGCACATTTCATTTTCTGACATGTGCCTGCATCTCCTCCACTTGTTGTTGTTGATGTGGTTTCATGTTCCAGACATTGTCTGAGCTGCTTTCTACTCCCTGGGCTCTTAGAAGGAAGCAGATTCCTTCTCTTGTTGGGAGCCTGACAGAGAAGTGGTAAAGCTCCAAGCTGAGCAGGGGGTATTGCACTTCAGTTTGAGAGAAAAGAACCCAGAGCAGAAATTCAGCACAATGGAGATGCTCCTTTTGCAGGAAGTGGCATTTCCTAGTCTAGTTCAGGGCAGGTAATATTTCAAAGCTTCTCTCCAGCATTCTGGGAGCTGTGTGTTTATTTACCTGGTTTTGACAAATGAGATCTCAGAGCTATGAGACACACTCTGTGTCACTTGATTGGAAAGGCCCCTGAGAGAGAGAGAGAGAGAGGTTTTGCCTTCCTGGCAGTGTAAGCTTAGGGATAACATTTCTTCCCTTTGGCTTGAAGGTTTGATTTAAAAGGAGCTGTGCATTTTTCAGACTGTGTCACAGCCTGTAGGATATTTTGTTCTGCCTTTTAAGATCCCCAGCACAGCTTCTGATCCCTTTGCCCACTCTTTCTCATGATTAATTTTACACCTATCATGATAGGTGTAATGATGGCATCAATCTTTAAATAAAGGCCTGTCAAGAAGTAAAACAGATTAATCATTTTGTACGTAACCTCTCTGGAGAAAGTAATAGGGTACATTGGCCTCAGCCCCTGTGGTATTTTAAATCCCTTTGGTCAGACTAAGAAATGAGCCTGAAAAGCCATGAGGGAAATGTGGAGAGGGTGCATGGAGGTAGTCTGGTCTCCATCAGTGCAATTCCTGCTGAAGGGATGGATGTGAATCTTCAGGGAAGTGTGGAGCTGTCAGAAAAGCACTGGATGGCTCCTGCACAGACACAGAGGATCTAACCCGAGTCTAGCTGGGAGAAAGCATGAGGGGGAGGTTTGTGCTAGCCCTTTTTTCACTCTTCTCTGTTAGACAGGTCCTGGCCACATCCTGCAAGGGTTTTCCTTAAGAAGGAAAGGCTGAAGAGAAGAGGGTGAAAAGAAGGAAAGGAGAGGATCCTTCCTTGGGTGGGGGGCACTGTGCACCACTGAGGGCTTAGACTTGGCAGGAGCTTCTGGTGCTCACCCCCTGCTCCCAGTCCCAGAGTGTTTCTGCTGAAGCCTGTGCCCCTTGCCCTGAGAGCTGTTTTCCCTTGCTCAGAAGCCTTGTTTTTGCTGTCCCTGCAGCGTGCCACCCTTCCTGTGAGAGCTGCACCGGCGAGGGCCCCTCGGCCTGCTCGGCCTGCGGCGGCGGCCTGGTGCTGTCCCACACGGGCGCGTGCGCTCCGCGCTGCTCCCTGGGCTTCTACAGGGATGGCAGCAACACCTGCAGACGTGAGTGCCTCTGCCCCTCTCCTTCCCACTGTGCCTCTTTCAACCTGCCTCTTCTTGCTGCTCTGCTCACCCTGGCTGCTGCCTGGAAAAAAAAAAGAAAAGGGTTCAGGTGCCTGAAAATGTGATGTGAGTTGACAGAGGTGATGAGCTGCCTCAGGAGCAGAGCCTAGAGCAGGGCTGAAATTTCAAAACAGTTGCAGTTTTGTTATTGACCTCAAAGACAAGAGGCTTTGTGTCCTGCTGTAAAAACCTGCAGGAGCATTTGTGTAGGTTTCCCTGTGATGGATCCCGGGCTTGATGAAAACTTGGCAAGTTGAGACCAGCTTTAAGGAGTCCTTGCTAAGGCAGACCCCCTCCCCACTGCACTGCCTGCCAGTACATGCCATGGAAGCTGCACTGGAGCTTTTGTGTCCATTTCTCCTCATGGGAAACCCCAGGAGAGCTGAGGCACAGCTTTGTAGACACAGACCTGAGCTGATCCTAATGATCTGGTGGAACTGATCTGGTGTTGGGCTGTGTTTTATCCCACAATTGGTATCCTTTATGCATCTCTCAGGGCCTTCTCTTTTCCTTTATTATTTTGTGTTCACTCCCACCCTGGGTTATTCCTTTCAAAAATTATTTGGCTTGATGTTCTAAAATGCAAAATTGGCCCAAAGATACAAAGAACTGGAGAAAGCCCTGCTTGAATTGTCCCACTATAATACACATACCTAAAAGTGAGTGAATGCTGATGTGGTTTGGTCACTGTGAACCTGAACACTCAGATTGGTGAAGTCCTGTGTTACCCTGATTCAAATCCTCCCAATTTATGATAAAATAACTCTGTTGCACTGAGCCCAGGTATCAGTGTCATCCTACCTAGACCCAATTTTGTCACTTTTGATGAGGTCCTGTAGGAGGAAACTGAAGTGGTTGTCAGCTTTACCTGCCTGTTGTTGAAATAGATGGTTCTCCTGAAACTATTATTTCCATCTGATCAGCAGAAATGGAGACACCTTACATAAGTTCAAGGAAATACTTGTACCATTCTTCTGTTGAGGAAAAAAACCGAAAAAGGACATTCAATAATAATAATAATAATAATAAAAAAAGGGAAAGTAATAAAAAATAGGAATTAAAAAAATGTTCTGGCTGGCTTCTTACAAGCTCAATAAAAATACTCGGTTTTCTCCAGCAGTAGGGATTCTCTTCTTGCTTGCTGCACCAAATTATCTCCCTTCCTAATTAACATGTCCCTTTCTAATGAAAGCTTTCCTCTTGATAGCTCCTGCCTCAGGATATCAGCCTAGACTGGGAATGTTCATGAGGCCTGCACCCTTCCTGAATTTGGTTCAGGGGCTCAAATAGATTTTTTTTTTTTTGCAAGCCAATTTAGCTACTCTAATCTCCTTATTGCAAATGGCTTTTTAAGAAGTGTTTGTAATCCTTGGAGCAGGGGGCTCAAGGCCAAGTGTGTTGGATTTTTGTCATTCCAAGTGTCACTTGTGCCTTTTCAAGTGCTGCTGATAAGCCAGGGAGATACAAATTGTCCCAGGCTGCTGGGAAACTGCCACTTGGAGGGAATGAAGATTGTTTAATCGGAGGTTGGCTGCCAGGCTGAGAAAACCTGGTCCCTTTTCAACGTTTATTTTAGTCTCTTTGCACTTTTGAGGAGCTCAGGGTTGGAAGGAGGTGCAGAGAGATGCTGAGTGCACGTATGGGCCCTGGGAGATATTTTTAAACTCAATGACATCCTGGCCCACGAACAGTGAGAAGCTTAACGGGCTTAAAAATGCAGAGAGGGAGTCGTGCTGATAAAACAAGCAGACAGGTTTGCTTCCAGATACAGTTTTTGCTTACTCTTCTGGCATGCCTCCATGGGCAGCCAGATTCCTGCGGATTTAGGCCTCATGTAGAATGTTTTACTGTATTTTTAATAGTTGATTCTTTGGAGCACTTGAAAAAAATAATTTTTTCATGTAGTGTTCTTAAGTGAAGAAAAATCAGAGTGGCACCAGAGCACCTAAAAGCAGCTGCTCGATTCTTTAAGTAAACATTTTGCTAGGAATCATTTGTAGATCAATAAAATGCAGACCTTCTGTGACATTTTTTAGAGTACGGTTCTGAAAAACACTGTGTTCCTTCTTCGGGGAGAGCAACATGGGTATTTTCACATTTACTTTGGAGGATATTTGGTTATAAAACTGTGTTTTGAATGAACATGTCAGTATTTATCACCCAAACTGTTAGTACAGCTTCCTGCAAAGTTTAGTTCCTGGACATCAAAGAGGTGAGTTGAAATATTCTGAACCTCTGGACTTTGATCCTAGATTCAGTAAATCCCTGAATTATTTTTTTTTCCTGGCATCTTTTTTGCTCCCTGCAGCTCCAGAATTTCACACTGTGCGCAGATAAAAAGGTACAAACGTTAAGTGAAATTAAATGGGCCTTTGGTCCCACCAAGGATTGCAGCAGTCTGCTCTGCTCTCCAAATTTGTGTGTTTCAGTTGTATGAAAAAGGAAATTCAAAAATAAAACACAGGCAGGGAAAGCTCTTATTTGGGGTTTTGGATTCAGGGTCCATGTTTTACCCTGACCTGTCCAGAGCAAAGTAAGAAGCAGCGTGAGGGGACATTCCAGCCTAATTCCAAACGGAACGAGGCTCTTTTACACTTTGGAGATTGCAAAAAGGAGCAAAACAAGCGAAACCCCTGGAGTGCCCGCCGAGGACGAGAGGGGCAGCAGGGCTGCAGGGTAAGCAGGGTGAGGAATGAGCTGTTTTCCCTCGTGTTCCCACAGCTTGCAGCAGCCAGTGCCGGAGCTGCGTCTCGGCCGCCGGCTGCACGTCGTGCAGGGACGCAGCGCAGGTGCTGCTCTTTGGGGAGTGCCAGTACGACAGCTGTGCCCAGCAGTATTACCTGGACTTCGCCACCAGCACTTGCAAAGGTGAGAAACGCCGTGCTGGTACCAGGGGAGGAAAAAAAGGAAAGAGAAAAAGGAATAAATGCAAGTGACCTTGGCTAAGAATCCGTTAGGTGGCAGCGGGAGCTGTGCAGGTGGCCTGCTTTAAAAAGGGTGCAGGAAGGGGAAAATTGTTCAGTGACAGGTTGCTTGCGAGGTTTCTGCTGGTTTTTTTTTTTGCTTTTTGGGCAGCCTGCTGTCACATACTTGAGCCTTTCAGTGGAACAAGATGATTGCAAATCGCTCTCTTGTAAATGATTTTGTAACTGAGCCAGCAAAGTTTTCAGGGGTCAGGTCCAGCAATTCATTTAGTCACGGGTCAGCTGATAAAGAGTGAGCTTGCCAGGCTAAGTCTCTTTGCAGGGGCTTATCTGGCCTCCTGTACTTACCTGTCTCTCTCTGTGTCTTACTAAACCCTGCATCAGCGATGGCTGCAGAAACAGCAGTTTGGAGGGATTTAAAAGACACGTGACTTGAAAGATTTCCAGAACTCCCCAGCGGAGTGTTCCATGATGGAAATAAGTGATGTTTTCCCACAGCTTGTAGACCCCAAGGGCTAAGCCCTTGTGCAGGGTGAGCACCCCGGAAGGGGCTGCCCTGAACTGATTTCTGTTTTCTGCCAGAGTGTGACTGGAGCTGTAACGCCTGCAAGGGTCCCCAGAGGACTGACTGCCTGCAGTGCATGGAAGGCCACGTTCTGCATGAAGGAGCTTGTGTGGAACAGTGTCCTCCAGCTTTCTACCGGGAATCAGACACGTGCCAGAGTGAGTTTTCATGGAGCGTTCCCTCCAGCATGTTCCCTGCTTGTCTCCCAGGAGCTGCCGTGCTGAGCTCTTTGCCTGTGTCTCTTCAGGGTGTGACCAGCCCTGCCTTCAGTGCCAGCAAGCAGACAAGTGCAGCCTCTGCCCAGCCCCGTTCTTCCTCCTGGGCAGTGCCTGTGTTCCCAAATGTGGGCAGGGATACCACGCAGACGAGGCACAGCGCCAGTGCACAGGTGAGCACCATGAGCCTGGTGCAGGCACGGTGGGCAAATGAGGAAGGAACTGCTTGCCAACTTGTATCATAGCTCTTTGCCCACTGTTTTGACTCTTTTTTGTCAGGTAGGTAAGGCACACATAGTGGTGTTTCTGCTCTGAGCCTGGGGACAGCTCTGCGTGCCAGTGGCTGTGCTGGTTTTGAGACTGAGACTGGTTTTGTCTCAGTGGGGTTGTGCTCTCCGTCCCATGCAGCTTGTCCTCCTGGATGCCTGGAGTGTGACAGTGGCAGCCTGTGCCACCTCTGTGACGGCAGCACGTTTCTGAAGAATAAGATCTGTGTTTCTGCCTGTGGCCAGGGTTTCTATGGCAATCCACGGACCAGAGAGTGTGAAGAAGGTGAGTGCTTCTCAAGAGACAGCGCCATTTATCATCAGTGTAAAGCCAGTGACAAAATATCTTGGGGGAAATCCCTTCCTGAATCAAACCGAGCGGTTACTTATCCATTCTTTATTCTAAATGAAGATTTACTAGTCTGTCTGCAGCTGGCTTTCAGTTCTGTGACGGGGAAATCAAGGTGGGAAGTCATTTGCCCAAGTCGTGGTGGGGATTGGGATGGCTTGCAGTTCACCTGGCCGCCCAGAGCCAGTGCTGCCAGGCACGGTGCCAGCACAGCCCGTCCCTGCAGTGACGGCTCTCCCCTTTCCCTCCAGGCAGCAGGCATCCCCGGAGCTCCCGTGCGGGCGGCACCCTGACGGTGGGCATTGGCGGGGTGCGGCCGCTGGCCCCGGCCCTGCTGGGCTGCGGTGCGGCCGCTGCCTGGCGCCAGCCGCAGTTCCAGGTGGACAGCGTTCCCTCCAGCGGCCGCCTGGTGATGCTGCGGGCCGGCCGGGAGGCGCCGCTGCGCCCCGGGCAGCGCTTCGGCTGCGCCGACCTGCGGGACAGGAGGGTGCGCTTCGTGCACGGCGCGCAGGAGCCCAGGTGACTCGGGGACGCTTCTTACTGAGCGCTTGCCTCACAGAGAAACTGCTGTGTCTTGAGAACGGGCATTTCCTTTTCCCTTGGAAGCATTCCTACGGGGAGGCACGCTTCCCGCTGCTGCTAAGCCGACTTGCAGCTTCTTGCGCTGTGCCGTGGTGTAACTGGTGCTGCAGAACTACTCAGTTCGTGGTGGAAGAGCTCACTGTGACCCAGTCCCAAACCTTCTGTGCTTTTGGGGTGCAGGGATGTGTCCCATCTTCAGGGCCCTCAGCTGAGAGTTCAAACGGGCGTATGAATCTGATTGTTACCACAGTTTGTTGACATTGTTAGGAGGATGCTCAAGCGATGTCACTGCTGTGCTCTCCGGCAGAGTTTGCCTTCAGCCATTCCTTGTTTGCCTCCAGGGTCAGCTCTGTTAGTACCCTGGAATAATTAGTGGTGATTAGTAGCTGGCAAAGCTCACGCTGCCAGGGTGTTGCAGGGAAGCAGATTTTTCCTGCAGCCAGGCAATAAGCCAGCCACCCTGCCAAATCTCACCCTTGATGTGCATCACCATAAAGCCTTGGCACCAGAGTGACATGGGTGGAACTGTTCTGAATTTCTGGCTGTATAAATCAGGGAGGTCTTCCATCTAAATAGGATCTGAAGAAGACTTTCAGGGTGTCCTGATGCCAAGGGTTAGCTGGTGCTCACCAGACTTCAGGCATATGTTCCTGTATTTCCTGTATCCTGCTTTTTTTTTAGTCTACCTGCTAGTCACCATGAAATGTCAGCATCTTGTCTTGAGAAACAAAGCTGCTTCATTACCAAATATCACTCTATTTATTATTTATACTGTTACTTTAAACCTCAAGGTGTTTGGGGTGGCATCACTGAAAAGTAAATGGGAAGAAAAATTCCTGGCAGGTCCTGAAGCCAGAGAAGTGAGGTTTTTCTTTAGCAGCATTTAGAATTGGCACTTTATCTTGGGGATGCCATCTGATGTTGCTCAAAGGGAGATGAGGGTATATTATCACACAGCTAAAGGTGCTTTATTGTCTGTTGTGACTGTTGTGAATCTTCAGGAAAAAATACTATAAAAATGTAATTGAAGGAAACTTGAGCTAAAGCTTCTGTCACTGAGCCAGTCACTTTTGCTGAATATATAATGTGCTTATCATGGCTGAGTCCTGGAAGAGTACTTCATTAATTTATATTATCCTGTATTTTGCCTTGCTGGGGACCTGTTTAGGAAAGGACAGTTTTCCTTGAAGGTCAGTGACCAAGAGTCATTCTCCCACCTTGAGGTGATCAACATTCAAGCCTTCTCAACACAGGTAAGAAAGCATGGAAACAACCCCAAATTTGGTACCATCTGAAGCCCTGGTTTCTTGCAGGGGTAACAGAGGAGCTGGGCACAACTTGAGCAGGGGCTCAGATCAGGCAGGTTTGGCTCAGCTCTCCCTTAGGGCAGCAGCCAAGAGTTACATGGAGGAAGAGAACTTGGGGAATGGACTGGAGAGGTTGGCCTGTGCCATTTTGCCTGTGCAGGGAGTGGCAGCTGTGCAGTCACAGAGCAATTATCAGTGAGGGCTGAGGAATCCCTGCTGCTCCAGTCGTCCTCTGGGTCTGCTGCTGCTCCCACTCAGCCTCTTGCTGCAGGCCAGTTGGGCCAGGGTTGATCCTGACTGCAGGAGAGCTTTGACACTCAGTTCAGTGCTCTGTTCTGGGACAGCTGGGAATTAAATCAGTGTGAGCTGAGCTGGTTGAAGCGTGTCTCTTAAACTTCTCACCACTTCTGGGCAAGGTGATGGTGCTGCCAAGGTGATGTCTCCTGTGTTATTGTTATTTAAAGTCTGTGGACAATCTGTGGGTCTCACCCCAGGGAGGGTACAGGCACCTGAACAGGTTCCAGGTTTCCAGGGGGGCTTTGCAGCTTACACTGAGCTTTTTCCAGTGTGGAAAGCTCTATCAGGAGTTGTGGCTACTTGGCATATCCTTACAAATAGAGACCCTAAAGTGCAAAAGAGAATCTGCTACTCTTAAGGCCCATTTACATCCTAAGAGGGGCACCAGATGACTTGACAGAGCTGTTCTAGTGCTGGCTCCTTCCTGCCTACAAGCCTGGCTCAGCCTCCACCCTCCCCATGGTAATTTATATTCCATAGTAGTCATTCCCATAACTTCTGGAAATTAGAAGTGCTCTAGTTTGTCCTTTAGAATAAGACAAACTGTGGGTTTTGATCCTGCAGTGTTGATATTGATTCTGGCTGGTGCTGAGATCTTGGCTCAGCCTAATCTCTTGTTTGCCTCAGTAGGACGTTCACCTGAGTAAGAGCTGCAGTCACTGCCCCAGAATACATAAGTGAGGTTTAATGACAGGAATTGTGGCTGCTGGTCCCCAGTAACCCTGGGAAGCCGTGCTCAGGTGAGGTGGCTCCCTGGTGGATGTTCCCAGGGCTTTGCCTTTGTCTCTGTGGGAGCGCCTCCCTCCCGAGGCAGTGCATTACCCGTGGCAAACGGTGTTTATGGGGATCAATAGACACTGCAGATTGAAACTTTTCTTGATGACAGAGAGCTGGAGAACTAATTTAAACCAGCAGAAATATGGTCCCTAGCAGGTTTTTGGTATAAGTTGAGTAAGGCAGTGGGGAGTGTTGGGAATGAAATAAAGACTGATGATGAAGACACCCAGTTTTGCTGTCATCTCAAAAGGCTCATGAGGATCACCTAGAGTCAAATGCTTGTTTTATAAACGTCCCAAGTTTTTGCCTCTCCTAAGCCAAATGTGGCATGAGAATCTTCTTTTAAAGGGACTAATTCAGTTAAAATGCTAAATATTCTTAGATCTGCCCATCGGGGGAAAAGGTGTGGAGAGCAATTCTCTGCTGCTAAGAAGTAGGAGATTTCCAGGGATGAAGTGAGCTGATGTCCTTATCCCCAAACTTTTAATTCCAGCCTTTGATCATGATCCAGCCTCCCAGGCTCAGCAGACACCTCAGAGCTGCTTTTGTGTTCCAGGCGCCGTTCGTGTTCCGGAACGAGCCCCTCCTCGTCGGCCGAGGGCAAACCGGGACCATATCGGAGCTGGTGCTGGGCGTGGGGGACAGTGACAACCCTCAGGACGTGGTGCTGGTGGTCGTGGAGCCGCCGAGGCACGGCAGGCTGCTGGGGACAGCTGGGGACCCCGCCACCCTGGCCCTGGGTGAGCTGGCAGCGGGGCGGCTGCGCTACGCCCACGACGGCTCCGACAGCCGGCAGGACGCGGCTCTGCTGCAAGTGAGCGACGGGTACCACTTCCAGAACGTCCTGCTCCTCGTCAGCATTGCTCCCCAGGTACGTGCTGCCACCTGAGCCACGCTGGGGTCCTGAGGAGTGCCACTCTGTCCCTGAGGTGTCACTGATCCTGAGTAACCAGCCGGAGGAGGCAGTGGGTTGAGTGGGTTTTGGAGGTTGCCTGAATTTTTGGTTTGCCACAGCTCCAGTTGTGCAGCTTTGCCGATTCAAAGTCCATAGTTACTTGATAAAAGGTAGTAAACTGTAATAAAGCAGAAGGAAAAAAGCTGAAGATATGTTCATTCCTTCCTAATGTGAAAGAGTAGCAACAAGTAGAGCTGTCATTAGAGGTCATGGTTTGCAGTTTTCTATGTAGAGATCTGACACACTGTCTTGGAGTTCCCCACCTTGGAAGGAGCTAGGAGGAGATGACATTGCACCCTTTGGCCCTCTCTACTGTTGAGATGTCTTTCACAGCAGCTTGGGCAGGACAATTTAAGGGAGCTTGGTGAGTGCTCCGTGTGGCGGTGGAGCTCTGCAAAAGGAGGCCCTGATCCCATTTGGACCCTGCAGGTTCCCCTAAAGCTGTGGTGGTAATTAATGTTAATTAGTGCTGTGACTCGTACAGCAGCCTGGGGATGAAAAAGGCATTGTTTTCAAGGCTGGTGCTGCTATTAGACTCCTGGAACAGGAGGAGCCCTGCCTGTGGTTTTCACCCAGACCGCTGCCATGGCCCTAAGGAGCCTGAACAGGATCACAAGGGCAGTGGAAATGCTTGGGCACCACTCTGTGTTCTTTGTAACACCTTCTTTTCCCCACTGCTGATTTAGCAGGTTCCTGTAAATGCCAGTGAGGGTGAATTACTGAGAGTGGTTTCTTTTATTATCCTGTTTTGTGCTCCCTTGTCTCTCCTTATCATTCCACGTTTCTCTGTGCAGACTTGGCTACGGAGGGGAATGAGGGTGGTGACAGAGGTGAGAGCAGGGCAGCTTTTAGGGCTTTTCCCAGTCCCTTTGGTTGCTAATGGCTGCTTTTCCCATCCAGACCTTTTGCTGGAACAGTTGCAGTTCCAAGGGACATGGAAGACTTTCTTTTCTGAGAGGCCAGGAGAAAACACGGAAAAAAAAAGGCAAAAGATGTTTATTTTAGGGGTACCCCAGACCTCTAGAGATCCAGCTAAGGGAGGCCTCCAAGGTATTTGCAAGGCAGCTGACCTTGCCCTGCCTGGAAGCAGGTAGATGAAAACACTTCTACATTTAAAAAATATTTTAAAAACAGATTACCAAGCAAAAAGGGCTGTCTCATGAGTCTGTTCTTATTAACAAGCAGCATCAAAGCCATGTGGGAATGGTATCACAACGTGCTGGACAGGTTTGATGTGGCCAGTGAAGGAACATTCAGTTATTTAGTGACCTAAGAGCTGAAGGTTTCCATGTTTGTAACAAACCCACAGTGTAAGTGCAGTACAGAATAGGTGGGTGCACAGCAGACATGCCAAAAAGGAGGTCAGGAATCATCCTGTAACGTGGTTCCTTTACACAAACCTCTTTTTAGCTCTCTCTCCTGTCTCTGTGGCAGATCCAGGAGAACAGAGCAGCGACTCATTTATCAGTTTGGGGGCTGATTATGTGGAGTAGCAAGTGAGGAGGGAGGTGATCCCTTAGATGGAGCAGTCAGGATTTTGACTGATCACACAGTTCAAGGCGAACTGCAGCCACAGCCAGTTTCAAGGTGAATGTGCAGAAATCCACCAAAGAAGTCACATTTACAGCAGCTGGGCTTATACGAAGGAACCATGGCATGGAAGAGGTCACAGGGATTTTGGTGACCTGTCCAACAAAGCAAATTAGAGCCAAAAAGCTGATATAATCCTTGAATGCCAGAGTAATGTTACTGAAATAAATGGAAACTGGAGTGAAACTGTTATTGCAATCCAGTGCTGGCATCCACATTTCAGGAAGCTTAAATTAATATTGGAAAAAAAATTTTTAAAAGCCACAGGAATAGTTTGAAGGTGAGTGTCGCAGACATTTCTTCATAGAAATCCTTTCTTTGGGATTTTTCCTTCTTCTGGGAAGCAAAGGGCCCCAGAAGAAGAATGTAAACAATTGTTATCAGCTGTTGTGAAATGTAGCAGGTGTCCCTGTGATTGGCTCATCTTCCTTGTGTACCATTAAAGGCCAATCACA